AGCATGCTACAATGAGAAAGATGCTGGACATGAACAGCAGTGCGTGGAGGTAAGGGCGTTGGATCAGGATGTTGACAGCATGCAGATCATTCGATGATCCAATTCTGTCGCTTCCCTCTTGTCGGTTAAGCAGTTTATCCCCGAAGCAATGTCAATTTTTTTATGTGGCTTAGCATTTCTTGGCGTTTATCTAAGGATCCCATTACTTAGGGTCAATGTTGGGGTCTTTCGCTCTATCACACGCTGGTGGATGGCATGGATGTTGTTTCCAGGGTTTTCCTGTACAGCCTTTGCAGCTTCTTCCCTATGCCTGAAGGAGCATGGCTATGGGCAGTGCCTTGACATCGTCATTAGGGTTTAGGGTTTAGGGTACTGTTACAAGAGCCCTCAGAGAGGCGGCATGAGCGCCAGTCAGGCCAGGTCATAGACGGATACAGGTTTCTTAATATACACTTAAGGGTGTATTTAGGATGGGCCTTATCATAATTCTAGGGTTCCTTTAAGGCGTCCATAAGGGATCTGTAGTAGGGTTTCTTAATATACGTAAGAGTCACCATGTGGTCGAAGCCCCAAGTCCCTCTTGCTCCATTGGTAAGAATACCAATACGGCGAAGTTGTAGAAATAAGTGGAGGGCGGCTGCAGTTTAAAAGTTTTGTTGAACATCTTTCACACGTTTGAACCAACACAAGTTCACCATTGTCAACAGAAAACCCCCATCAAGAACTGAGGTATGAGAGCCTCCCCTTAACAAAAATCCGTATAAAGCCCTAAGCCCGCCTAAGCCCACACAGCCCAGTAGACCTCAGGCATGGGAGCTTCCCCTAGACCCTAAAGCCGTGAACCCCTATAGAGCTCCTTAACGTCCTTTAAAGCTCTATAAAGCCCTGTAAAGCCTTATGAAGCTCGACAAAGCCTTCAAGACCTATCGACCTAAGGTATGAGTTAGAAGCTGCCCCCACCCTGTAATAGTGACTATAAGGATTATATTAGGGCCCTATTATATTCCTATTATACCACTATTACAGGGTGGGGGCAGCTTCTAAGGTATGAGCGCCTCCCACGGTCATCTTTCGAATGGTTGGCCTCTTTGCCCTTCTTCATCGCCTTCGAGGCTTCGTGACCAGAAGTTATAAGTGAAGTTTGAAGTTTTAAGTCCCCTAATTTGGGGTTACAAGTATAGTTACTTACTTCTCACCCCACTTGTAACTTCGAGGCTTCGTGACCATAGCCTGGGCATCAAAACAGCCCAAAAGCCTCATGTAGTATGGTCTTTGGGCCCAGAAGCCTTAATATATGAGTCCTTAGATCCCTAGGGATAAGGGTCACGAATACTGCCATTATGGAGCTGCGTCCCCAAGACCATCATTTGGGGGGTGGTTTGTTTGGGACCTTAATTTACTAACGAAAGTGGGGGTTTCCTACTGTAGTAGTCAGAATAGGGTTTGTTTTGGGCGGGACGGCGTGCACTAAAGTTTCACTATAAGGAAGAAATGGGCCTGAATACGCCAAAACGACTAGAATAGGACTTGGTGAGTTTGGTATGGTGTTTATCATAAGGAACCTCTCATAGAACACTATCGGTAGTTATTTAGGCTTCAGAAGAAGGACGCCTTAATCCCGTCTGAAACCAATGTCTTGACCGTCTTGACCTTAAAACTTCCTAGATGGCTCTGGCTACTCAATCCGTAGTCATTCCTTTTCAGGGTCGTCTAGAGTAATGTGTTCCCGTCCTACATGCGCGGCCCCTGTATTTAAACCCAGTCCTTGTCTTCACGGTGTAACACAAAAACCTATAAGTATGCATGTATGTAGATATCTATGTGTTTATATACATATATGTTCACATACATACATACATACATGTATATATATATATATATATATATATACATGTATGTATGTATGTATGTATGTATGTATGTATGTATGTATGTATGTATGTATGTATGTATGTATGTGTGTGTGTATATATTTATGCACACATACTGTATCTGTGCATACATACATACATGCATGCACATATTCAGCTTGGTGTTCCTTTGAGAAAGGTTCCAAGACTGGGCATCCAAAGAGAAAGCATCTTGCGTTTATGTCAGAGTTTCGGGCTCACACTACCACTAAAAACTCGCCGTGCAACCGGCTCACCAAGCCCTCATAGATCCTAAACCCCCAGTGTACCCCGGGCGAGGTTTTCCTGGGGTCCTAAGCCCGACAAAGAAGAAACCACCCTGCTTGAAGCCCGCTTTAATGATGACATCACCCAGAAGACTATGACCGCACCCCCCACCCCCTCCGGTCGAAAAAGCTAGCCGCCTATAAACCCTAAAGACAACAGTGCTAACCCTCTCCTGGTGGTGGTGAGGCAGACCCATCGGATTCCGGCAAGGCCTGGCTGTGACCGTGCGCAGAACGTTTTCGTAAGTAACGGCTGCTTGTAATTATGCTGGGTGTAAAAAGTCCCTGCCAGATCCACTCCAACATCCGCGCGCGCTGGGATGCGGGTGATGCCGAGGCACGGGCCCCTACAGGGTCAAGGGGTTTAGGGGTTTATTATTATTTTTACTGTTATTAATATCATCACTGATTATGATTATTATTCTTGTGATTGTTATCATCACTAATTAATTAAGATGTTATTATTGTAATTATTATGAATATGATGATTTTTATTATTACTGGACTCTGCACCCCGCAGCCTCATGATGATTATGTTGTTGCTGAGCCGGATAGTCTTTATCTGCTGATGATGATGATGATGATGACGTTTATGAAGACGTAAAGATGACGAAGCTGTTTATGTCAGCGTGATGACTGCTGCTGCTCCTGCTGGCAGTGTACGTGAGATAGGCACTTCCCTAAACCCTAAACCCCAAACCCTAAACCGTAAACCCCAAACCCTAAACCCTAAAGTATGGATCCTCCCACTGCCCGGCTGCCCACGCATTATCGGATGAGTCGCATGATCTCTCTTCCGAGTCTATCAGACAACTTCTGTCAGGCCTCAAACCGAGGCAAGCATGAGGAGGAGGAGGAGGAGGAGCAGGAGGCGAAGATTATGAGGACGACGATGATGATAGTGATGATGCTGCTGCTGCTGCTGGTGGTGATGGTGGTGGTGGTCGTGATGAACATGATGATCATGATGATGGGGATGCTAAAGATTGCTGATGTGGGACATGGCGATGAATGGTGATGATCATGATGATGATGATGATGATGATGATGTCGATTGTGATGGTGCCGAGGCTGATTGTGGCGCTGATCCTGGTGCTGGTCTTGATGGCGACGCCACTGCTCCTGCTGCCACTACTGCTGCCGCTGGAACACATGATGAGCACGTCTTGTGATGAAGTGGCTTCACACTATATCGTGACTTTGTGCATGCAGAGTGCTTGCCTTCTGCGATTCTACGGCGATGCTTGCCTATGGGGTTCCAGGCTCGGTTTTTCGATGGGATACTGTAGCTTTCGATGAGACGTTGGGGAGGAGCCGTTCTTCCGGCAGGTTGCAAACTCTAGGAAGCTTAGAGGGCATCATGAGAGAGCTTTACCTCAACCCCCCAAAAGCAGGCAACATAATGGCCCAAATCCTATTAAATGGCGATTATTCTACATACTTTTGTAAGGTTACGACAAGGATATTCTGAAGGCAGTACATATGGGTCGAGTAGTCGAGTAGGGTTTAGAATTCACTGTTAGATGCTGGGGAAGGGGGCTTCCCGTCTTACAGCAAGCTGCAACATCACCCTCCAAGCACTTGGGTATCTGACGTGCCTTGATATACGGGTGGCTGTCAAAATTAGGGTCCCTTTTTGGGTCCCTATTATAATACGGCCCTTAATATTTAGGGTACCCCAAAAGGGACCCTGATTTTGACAACTACCCATATATGCCTGTTAAAGGTCCGGATCGGAAGTCACCTGCGTTGGTAGCTCTACCTGGACCCTGAACAACCTACCTTTCAGGGCTCCTCAGTATGAGTTCCTGATAGAAGCATTAAAGAGGTAGGTTATTCGGGGACCCTAATATGGTACCCGGTAGGATCCTTGTTAGAGGCACCGACGTGCTGTTCACGCGCGCTGCGCAGACGCCGACCGCATCGGTATTTACGGTGTTTCCTGAACATTGCAGCCGAAAACGTTTGCGCGGAAGGCAGTGCCGTCTCTGTCGAGGAGGTGCCTTCCTGTTCTGAAGCCTCTGCTTGGTCTCCACACAGTTTGGACAACGCTGCCGCGGCGAGTGCGCACCGTTCACAACGACAGCTGAAATGAGGTCGCTGCCTGAAGTGCAACCGTGGCATGCAGCCATGGGCATATACGGCTCAGAGCCGAAACGTGGCCGGCTAGTGCTTTTGTGCAACGGCCTTCAGAAACGGCTTCCGTCCGGTCAGCGATGCTGTTTCGCTGATAGGCCGTTCCCCTGGCGTCGCATCGATGATGCTCCTTCCTGGGTTCGTAGCCAGTATGGCGGCATTTTTGCTCTTTTGCAGCAGAACGGGGCTTCGTCCTAACCAGTTCCCCCTGGCCGCAGGCCGACACAAAAACACCTTCTGAATCCTTCTTGTTGCAAGCCTCGTGCAGCCGTGTGCTTTCCCACCGCTTCAGGTTGAGGGGTTTACGGCTTTAGAACTTTATGGTTTCCGCTTTAGTTTAGACTCGAGGGCTCTAGGTGATGTCTGCGATGTGTTTCTGCTGATGAGGCTCTTCCTGACGATGCTTGTTTTTGCTATGCTTATGAGGTTGCGAGTGGCTTGACGCCAGGTGTTCGCAAATAATTATTTTTAGGAAAATAATAGGGTTTGAATAGGATCCAGGGATTTCTGCAAAATAGGGAATAAATAGGATTTAGATAGGATTTGGGAATAATGGACCCAAGGGGTCACAACTTCCAGGAATGCAGTCCGCAAGGTTGCAGGACGGCCACCGCGTGATGTCATGGGCACATCATGATTTCGGCTCAGGCTGGTGATTTGCTCTCTTTCAGGGGCCTAGCTGACAAGAATGAATGGCAGCTGGCTTAGCTTTGCGAAGAGCAGAGCGAAGAATGCGGATTCTCCCCAGACATCTGAACTGTCCCCGGAAGATGTCGAGTTAGTCCACACGCTTGAGGACAGTGATTCCGAGGGCTCTGATCGTGTATGGTGGGCGCAGCAGATGTTTAGCCTGGGGCACGATGTGCTGTCGAAGCTTCGCGAGCAGGGGTCGTCTCGACCTAGCAGGAGCTACCCGTGGGCAGGAATTCCAGTGAGGCTCCTCAGCGCCTGCACGGGAAGTTTTGCCGAAGCCGCGGCGTTCAAGGACTCCGTCTGAAGCTGTATTGTGCTGTCAGCCATGATCTGATGTTTCTGCTCCCAGAAAGATGCTTCTTCAGATCATAAAGCTGCAGAAGTATCGCGGCTCCAAGCTTTGATATTTCTGCCAGGAGCTGGACATACCGTTCTTGAGCATGGGCTGCAGCGAACCGAACAAGCATTTTCGAGACTTTGTTTTGGCGAATTATTCCACGTTGCATTTTCATGCTACCATGGAAGATCAGCTCGCTGGTGCACCGTGCTTGTTGCATGGAAGGGAAGAAGCATGTGCTGTGGACGCATGCGATTACCTGGTCCTCGGTACTCCCTGCAATCCGTTCAGTACCCAGCGGCTCAAACGTTTCTGTGACGGGAGCATCAAGGGACATGCGCTGTCCCAGTGCACTTTTGCAAGTGCCATCTCCATGTTGAAGCGTTTCGAGCCTCCAACCGCGACTATGGAGCAGACGGAAGGCTTTATGATGAGGGAATCATCTGCTAGCCATGTCACTCCTCTACAGAGGCAGCCCGTGCAGGGGACTTTGGTCAGGGGAGCGGCTTACATGCGTTGCATTGCCACAAGAGTTGACGCGCAGGTTGATTATATTGTTGGTCTAGAATGTCAGCATGAATTCGTGTGTATGTGAGAAAGAGGGAGCGTGTGCGTGTGTGTGTCCGTCAGGGCAACTGTCTTGACACGGTGGTCATGTTATGTAATTGGAGAAGACAGCTGCCTTTTCGTCCGATGTGATGTCGTATCTGCTACCCGTGGTAGTATTGTCTAAAGCTTTGTACAACAGAGCTTGGGTTGTCTGGATGAGAGCCTGACGGGCAGGTTTTTGGCGGAAGTGGAGAAGATCCACTTTCCGCGTGGCGGCTACATTGTGACGGTGCACAAGCTGAAGATGGAGACGTGGCTCAAGATTTCTCGGAGGAGGCCCGCCCAGCACGCTTGTTGCTCCTTCCAGCTATCGCGGAGTGTTGCAGATGTAGTAGACTGCTTGCCATAGTCAGTTTAGCTTGTGTCATCTTTAAGTGTTACTGAAGTCTTGACTACTGATCTATCATGAAAGACAAGTGGAATGGCTGTTGGCGTGAAGTAGATGGGTGGGACAGCAAGGCCACCCCAGAGACGGTAGAACCTTCAAGATTTGATTCCATGTTCATTTTTAGGGCACGACAGACCAGCTGCGCAGACGTGCTTGGCTGAAGTGCAGCTCGAGCAGCAGGTAGGACAGAGCATGCTATCCGGCTGGGTCAGATATGCGCAGCGGGCCGCCCACAGAGCAACAGGTCAGCAGGACCAAGCTGCAGTAGAGGTCTGTGGGGTGGGTGATGTGGATGCGCCCCAGCCGCCGTGTCCAAAGAAAGCAGGACGGCCACGTGGCACCTTTGGTGGTTCCTCGGACCGGGCAGCTATGCAAGCAGGCCTGGCAAGGCTAGCTGCTCCAAAGGCTCGACAACTGATACCGTTGGGGCGTGGCATAGACGACAGCAGGAATTCTCTGACTGGCACGCAACATGTCTTTGAGCTGGTGAATATCGGGACCAATCTACAAAAACAGGTCTTTCTTTTTGCGCAGGACCAAGCACGCCTCGTTCCATTGGATGATGGCAACCCTGCCACGGATCATTTGTGCAACGGACGCAAGCCAGTGACTTCACTTGCTGCTCTGGCGCAGCAGGCGGAGTTCAGCCGATGGCTTGTGAAGAAGCATCAAGTGCGAGTTGCGTCGGCAGCTCTCACTTCTGGCGGGTACTTAGCTGGCAGCCTTCTCGCAAAGCTGAAGCACATGATTACCGAAGATGGATATGTACCTCTTGTGATGGGGACCTCCCGGAAATATGATGAGACTCCACTGAAGCTGCGAGTGCAGGAGGCTACTGCAGGCGATTCTTCGTGGCAGAAGGGTGTGGCCGCGAAGGTCATGCAGACTCGCCTGCATGTATTTGCTCTCCTGAGACATCCTGAGACAAAGGAGAGTGTTCAGTTCGTCAGTGAGGTCCCTACTGCATTGCGAGTGATGGATTCCGCTACTGCCAACAATGTCATGGCTACACAGCAGCAAGCTTTAGACAAAGTTGCTGGCCTGGGGTCCTTCAGCAAGCTGTTTCGCTTGAGGGTGAGTTTGGTTTGCACGGATCGTGCTGCCCAGAACATAGCCGCTGAGCGGCTGCTAGCAGCGGAGCTCAACAGGATTTACGAGTGTTCCTGGGCACCGCTGCACACCTTTTGCGATATTCATCGGATTGCTCAGGTGGAGAAAGCTACATCGGATCTGCTGAAGAATGTGCTGTCGGGAATGGTTTCTGTTGGAAAGGCTACACAGACAGCTGGAGCTACACGGCTCCTACGAACCCATCTGCGAGAGATTCTGCAAGAGCGTCTGGAGGTCAGAGTCGGTGCGGCCCAGTATGAGCCTGACAGGGCGCCTTTGTATGACTTCCTGTTGAGCGATGTGGCCACGACATTTGTCCCGGAGCAGCGCAAGCAATCCGTTTGCACTTTGCGTAAGAGGCAGCGTATAATCTTCCTGCATTACCTCAACGGCGATCTCTCATCAGAATCAATCATTCATTACACTCTGGAGGGCAAGACACGGGATCAAATTCTTGGAGAAATGGAACAGTGGCTGATACCCGCCCTGTGTCCGGGACCATGTCCCTTCCTCAACCGCGGAAGGTTTTTGGGGATGGAGCAGACGGCGCAGTGGGTGGGCATACTGTCGGTCCACCATAATATCCTGGCCGCATTGTTGCAAAAGTTGCATGGCCGGCCAGTCTCTTTGCCGGAAGACAGAACAGTGGCCGCTGGCCCTGCTTCTGGTACAGGTGGCTGGGCTGCCTTTGCTGCTGCACGGGCTGCTCGTGCTAGGCAGCGGCGAGCGCCAGAACAAGCATCAGAGCTTGAAAGCGTTATGGGTGCTTTCAGCTTTCGTGCCATGCAAGAGGTAGAGGCCCTGCCCGCAGACATGGAGGAAGAGGCTCCTGGCAATACTGGCGACTTGGACTGGGGTGCACTGAACCGTGCGAGCAAAAAGAAAGCGGCCATGTTTGGTGCAACGCGGCCTGGCTCTTTGCTTGCGCTCATGCTTTACAGCATGCAGCCTGTTCTGCAGCTTCTCTCAAGTTTCATTGCCTTAAGCTCCGCTGCCTTTGGCACAGCACAGGACACTAAAGCTTTGCAAGGTTCTGGCAGAGCATTCCGGGTTACAGAAGTTGCGTGTGGTCGGCAGGTCGACACCTTCCAGGCATCTCTTTCGGAGAAGATGCAAAGTGCTTGTTTCCTGGTACCTCTACAGATGTGCAACGTGGCTACACGCGGGTTGCTCTTTCGGCTGATGTCCCGGCAAAACTGTGCGGTACACCAATTGCTTGTTCGCAAGCATCGCAACCCCCCCTACAGCCTCTTCAAAGCCTTGCTGGGCCAGAGCAGCCAGGTCGAAAATACGGACCCTTGCCTCCTGGACGGCTTCACACGCACTTTCTTGGAAGTGTTCCCAGATTTGGATTCTCTCGATGCCCAACAATCACTTGCGGCGCTGGCGGAGCAGATGTCTGTAGACATCCTGGAGATTGAGGCTCGACATGCCACTCCCAGACGCATAGTCACTGTGCGTGGCACACAGACCTGGGCCTTGAGCGTTCTCCTGCTCGGGGCAGAGTGGGTTCTCCGGCAGTCTGTGATCATGCGGGAGCCAGTTGTCGGGACCAAGAAGCAGGAGAGAAAACGGCCGCGGCATGTCAGAACACAAAAACCCAAAGTCACCAAAGCTGGTGGAGCTTGGAGGGCATTCGTGCATCTCCATGGGAGCGGGCGGCGGCTGGATGGCGCCATGTTTCGAAGCCTTTCTGTGCGATACAGGCTGCTGAAGGCAGCGCAGTCCGAGGAGTACCAGGTGCTGAAGAATCTAGGCCTGCTGGCAACGTTGTCCGCCCGTGCGGGCGGAGCTCGCTTCTTGAAGCAGTCGTCTGGGCGGGTTTCTACTGCTGTTGTTTCTATGAGCGACGGCGTGGAAGACAAGCTGAAGCAACTGCGACTTCAGAGGCGTGAACAGCTCCGTGCTGCCGATGAGGCTGCTGCTTTGGCACGGAGAACTACCGAAGAAGCCGCGCAAGTGGAGCTCCTGCGGCTTCAAGAGCAAACGCTGCCAGCAGACACATCGTCAATGGATTCAATGGTGACTGGCAGTTTTCGCTGTTGCCCAGGCAACGAGACCCAGCCGGCTGTTGCTCGGTTCTGTCCGCCCGTGGATCGCGTGGCCGAGGCATGATCATAGACAATGTTTTCACGAGTCTTGTGGGATGTGGGGGGATTTTTGTGGTTTGAAATGTGAACCCATAACCACAAAGCCTTAAGCTCTCATATCTGTTAACCTCCACTGTGTTCTTCAAATGGCCGGGCTGCCAGGGGAATGTGCGCTGGAATACCTGGACCCAGCACAAATCCTGATGTATAAGCCCGCCCTCTGTAATGCAGAAACACACGGAAGCATGACCTTAGCACTTCTGTGCACAGCTTCAGTTCGGGGTGCTGTCCTTTCCCAATATCTTTGCAGACGGCGGCAGAATGCTTGCAAAGAGGTCTTCGTTTTTTTTCCTCGCAATCAGATTCAGATATTAGATTTTCCCACGTTGAGTTTTCTTCCCGACACGTCATCCGCACCGCACAGCCAGTGATAATTTTAATAAGCAGAAGCTGCTAGCTTCTTTCAGTTTCTGCCTTTTGTTGCTCTCGGTAGCTCAGTGCTTTCTGTTGCTGCCCTGAGCCCTTGTCAGGCAGTCTTCAAGCAGACTCGCAGCGCGAAACGTGGCTATGGCCATGGCTTGCTGACAGCTCTGGACGATGAGTTTGACAAGGAATGCAGGCTCATGTTGCACAGCGAAGCCCCGACTGTACCCGCAGACATGGAGGGGGGCGTGACGGAGACCATGTGCAGCAAGCTGGGCATCTGTGTCTGCCACGGCCGGGGTCTTCAAGCCTGGCGATGTCACGTGAACTTTGTTGCCTTGCTCTGCAAGCCACACATGGTTTCCAGACGACAGCCGACACCAAAGTCCCAGACCCGGCCGGGGACATCGGCGCCGGCACGGGATGGCGCAGCCGCGCCAAAGTCCAAGCCCCATGAGGGTCTCGCTACAGCTTCGCAAGCAAAAGCAGCTCCCACAGTGCATCGCGTGCTGGCAGAACAAGCTTTCTTGTTTGTGCGTTTGGTCCCTCTCAGAAACGAAGAGCTTACGGATACCTTGCCACTCGCGAGCCAGTCATGGTCGACACTTGTCCAGAGAGCCGCTAACCGGGCACAAGTGCTGGGGCACTCCGGTTCAGCGCCACAACCACAGCACACAGAGGACACCCTAGAAGATTCTTTCTTCTATCACCTGGGTTTTCTGAATTTCAAGGATTGGGGCATGGCGTGCACGAGCATGATGTACATCTCCCACGAGGACGACAGGGTGTTGCTACAGGCGACCGAGCCGTTGACAGCGCGTCAGCATGTTGAGTTACTCAAAGCTGAGCTGGATTTCCGCTTGCCGTGGGTTGCTATGTTCTACACACTCGTCAGCGATGAGTCTTTCGTGCCTCAGTATGACATGACACCGTCCCAGGTACTCGTCAAGCCCCATCTTGGGATAGATCCAATGTATATCTGGAAGGGGAGCGCGGTGGAAGAGAAGCCGCAGTCAAAGCGCAGAGACAGGAAGCCTGGTGCCGGCAAGCGCAAAGCAACTCCGCCGTCCAAGGCAAGCAGTGTTGCTGCGCCCTCTGCAGACTCAAGCGGCAATGCTGCGGCGGTGCAAGAGGGCCCGGTTGATGTCAAGGATGTGGTGCTGCCGTCTGGTTCCGAGGCGTCCGGGGAGGACGCAGACGGCCTGCACGCAGATGGGCCCGCAGATGGTCTATCTGAGGACGACGCTGACGTCCCGGATTTTTCAGCGCCTGCGTCAGCCGCGGCGGATGAGGCTCCACAGCAGTTGCGAAGACCTTTGGTGCCCTTGCCTTCGCGCAGAGAAGACACCTCTCGTCCAGGAAGTTCATCGGACCCTGTGCCGCACGCAGCTGTCCCGCCTGACAATGCACCTGCCGCTGCATCCCGTTCTCGCGCAAGCGCGGGCGTGCGTACAGGGACCGAGGTTGGCTTTTCCCTCGGAGACACTGGAGACTTGAAGTTCTACCCGAAGGCCCAAGTGATTCATGCGTTCTGCCGAAAACACGGGAGTGACTGCCGAAAGAGCCGCACGGTCCGTGCTGGAAACCGTGCGGGACAAGGGCGATGTATAGGTTACTTGGTTGCGTGGCTGCGCGATGCAGGCAGCCACGACAGCAGGGAGTCCCATAGCAAATTCGCAGTCCTCAGCCGCACAGACCGCGTGGCGGGGCGTCAGCATTTTAAGAGCTTCTCAGGGTGGCAGGCCTTCGCTGAGCACGAGAGAGCACGTGAGGAGGGCGAGGAGGAAGAGCCACGTGATTTCACGTGACTCCCGACGCGTTCTTTTACTCCCCAAACCCAGGCAGAACTCTGGCAGGTAGAAGCAGCGAGCATCACACTTGTCCCACTCCTCTATTTTGTTGAAAGCGACTGATGTGTATTCCTGCCCTGAGGGTGGCTGCTCTATGCCATAGAATGTATGCATATATAACCTGCAAGCGGCCATTTCTCTGCTATCGCCGCCTTCTCGCTGCTTCTTGCTCTGTAGTGCGGCAGTAAGCCCCCTGAGCCTGCTAGCTTCGCGTGATCTTCAGAGTCTTCAAGGAAGGACTTTCCAGGGCCTAGGAAGTTACGATGTCTTTTGAATAGAGGTTGCAGCATTCACCTTTGTCTGTGCGGTCCTGTCGTTTCGGAACAATCGGCTGAAGTAGGTCATGGCTAGATGCCCACCTATTTTCTGCACACTCAAAGTGGGTGTAAGGCGTAAGGACTCTGGAGGACTTCTTGGGAGGCGCTTTGCGGCAGGTTTGCGTAATTAGTCCTCTGCCAGAGAGCAGTTCGTAGACCTTGCCAAGCAAATCTTCGTTGCTTCTGGTCCGTGGCTCGGATAATTTGCCCGGCACGACTTGCGCAAACGCGCACATCTCCAGAGGAGTAAGCCGATCCGCAGCGACAGTTGCCGCTTTGCAGTTGTGCCCCGCAGCAAAAGAATGAAGCTCAGACGTCAGTTCGGTCTCGCAGTTCCTCGCATGCTAGGCCCTAGGCCCAGCGCTAGAGTGGAAAAACACTGCAGCACCTAGAGCACCGTCCACGTGAAGCTTCATAGGCGAAGGTGTCGGTGGTGCCATGGGAAATCAGAAGGATGGCTTGGGTAGGTTCCAAACCAAAACCTAATCCTATGTCTCCCAACGAAACCGCCGCACGTGCCAGGATCTACATCAACTTCTTTCGCAAGGATCAGTACAGCCGAGCGGAGGTGGACTACTTCCTACTCCTCATGAAGGCTGCTGCAGATGCAGGGTCTAACGGCCGAGGTCGCTAGTGTCTGCATGGTGTAGAGTAGAGAGGTTCAACCTTGCTGTTCCAAACCGGCAGCATATGACAGTTGGCAGTTTTGTCCTTTTTCGGTTGGTGTCGTGTGCTGAGTTGAAAGGAACATGGGTTGTTTCTACTTTGGGTGTGGTTCTTTGCTGCGCCAAGGCTTGTACTGATTCCAGTAGCATGTGACAGGGACAGGTTCAGTAGTCAGCATTCAGGGTGTTGGGATTTCCTGAGATTAACAGCAATGCACTGCGAGGGCAAGAGTGTCCAGGCGCACATGGTTCAGGTCCTGGGTTGCTTCGAACTTGGCAAGGTCTGGGATCATGTTAGTAGTCTGCTACATAGCCGGTGCAGGGGCCTCCGTGGATGCGTAGCTTCCGGGGTGTCTTCGGTTTGTTCAGAGTCTTGTGGGTGATGCAGATGCAATGTTGCGTTTCCCGCGAGTCCCGGCGTCGGGGAAAGGGTTCTTTGCTAGGCTTTCTAAAAGGCAATGACCCTTCCCAGTGTGCTCGTGCACCAGCGCAGGAACCGTCCTATAGTGTAAAAATCACTGGCTGCGTTGTACTACTTCCTCAGTCCTCGTAGCTAGGCAGCTAGCGGAACGTGTAATAGCAGGCGACACCTAGGAGCTGTTGCGCTGAAGTAAGTTGAGCTTGCAAGAGCTGCGGGTGTGCAAGGAATTAGCCGAGCAACCTTAAGACGCCCCGAGCTGCAGTTCTCTAGCCTAGGTCCTGAGTCGCAATACTTCCCCTTCAACGCATCCTCGGCAGGAGATGCTGAAAAAGCAGGATGGCTTCGGTGCCCGGGAAGTTTCCCACGTGCTGTTGAAGCCTGATCTGGCGACGGACAGAGAGGCTTTTGAGACAGAGATGTGCGCTTTGGAGGCTTCCTTCTGTTGCTGCGGGTGGGACGTGCTGGTGCATGTGAGTCGGTTTAGGTAGAGTTTAGTTTGGAGTTATAGTTAAGGGTTTTAGGCATCCAGACCTGCAAATATGCCTCCATGAGGACACCCAAATCTCACATTCAGGGTGCATGCGGTGTTTAGCGCATGTCATAGTACCAGAGATACGTGTAGATACGTTCACACAAGCATTGCACATCTAGAAGCCCGGCAGTCCAGCGCAAGTGTCTCAGCTCTTCTGGCTTCCGTAAGCTAGCGTTTGCTTCCTGGCAGCGAGTCTGCCTGTTGCTGGATTAATTCCTTGCAAAGAGTATACTTGGAGAGTTCTTGTAGAAAGCTTGAAGAGTGACCGACTGGAAGCATGCTTAGAAGCGACGGCGTAATGCATTCCGCACTGCCGCCTTAAGCATTTTTTTGTTCGGGGGGAAGCGCCTGCCGCCTGGGGAAGTCAGTCTGCTGTAGCTTTTGGGGGAGTGACAGTGAAAACAGAAACCTTTTGCAGCAGAACAAGCTGCTTGGGCACAGGCTAGCCTCAAGATATAGCTCCTGCTGAACATGTTCCAGGCGTGATTTTGAAACTGATTTCGAATACGAAGTGCCTAGCTCAGAGCGGTTGTTGCTAGTCGAGCGGACACAGAAGTGGGGGTGCGGACTGGACGTACTCAGATTTGAAGTTTTCTCCAAATGACCAAGAACTGGCCTTTGGCGTCTCCCAGGCGGGGTGCCCCGCCCCTCCACCCCTCTCCCTCCCCCCAGGAGAGGGTTGGCCCCCTGCCCCGACCCTCTCCAAGAGTGGATTCTGGTGGAAATCTAGGAAATTCCTACTTTTTTCCTACTTTTTCCCTACTTTTTCCCTACTTTTTTCCTACTTTTTCTCTACTTTTTCTCTATTTTAGGAGAAAAGTAGGAGAAAAGTAGGAGAAAAGTAGGGAAACGGTGGCCCACGCCTGCGGAATAAAGTAGGTGGAAAGTAGAGGAAAAGTAGGCAAAAAATAGGGAAAAAATAGGGAAAAAGTAGAGAAAAAATAGAGGCAGGTAAGAGGGGGGGAGGGAGAGGGTGAAAGCCATGGAGGCAGACGAAAAGGTCCAGGGATGATTTCTTCCAAGCTCTGAGCGCCGCACCATGCGTGCATCCGGGTAATGAACGCCTCACTGCCGGAGTCCATATGTCTCGATCATCAACTAGCCTTTCACTAAGAGAGCAATCGCTCACCCGCCATCACAAGGCTTCTAGCTGAAAGATGTCGCTTGCTTTAGAAATCACGACCCTAGCCCTTTTGTGGGCTAAGACCTAGCGCCGTGCCGCATTCCATGTTTCGCTGCAGTCAATGCACGTAAGCCTGCGTGAGAAATGACATTGCAAGCGCATACTCTAGTTCTGTTGGTGTCCTTGAGCCAAGTACTGTTGCTGCTCGTTTGGGTTAGCGTAGCGGCAGGCTTCGCTAGCGTCTTCGGCACGGCCGCGAGCAGCGGCTGACCCAGAAGCCAAGTGGCGTGTGCAGGCTGAGGAGTGGCGTCAGGAGTTGGGTGTGCCCGCTTCCTTCTCGTTGATCCGAAAGCACAAGCTCGCCTTCCGTGGTGTCCAGATGACGGAGCGCACCCGAGTGATTCTTGATCTCGTTCTCGCGAACATTGCAAAGCAGCATAGGCTAGTGAAATGGCCACCTAGCAAGAAGTGGCTCATGCGGCTAGTCAAAAGCACTGTTGTGGACGTCAGCCAGAACCCGTGCCGGCGCAAGTTCAGCACGGAGGAGCATCTCCACACAATGTGTACTTCTTCGATTCTCGTCCATTTGGGACTTCAGCGAGCGATTCTTCCGTCTGAGATGCTGTGGCTGCAGGGGCACAATCCAAGCTCCACAGTCCTTCCAAGCACAATCCCATCCGGGAGTGTGCGAGCGCTCGCAGGGGAAGGAATGGCATTGCCTTGCATCGGACTAGTCATTTGGTGTCTGCACCAAGTGAAGCAGTTTCCTCGCCAGGACAGCGAAGCCTGAAGGGCACCTTCCCTCAAACCACTTGTGTACCTGTCTTGTAGCTGAGGGCCTTGACTGCCTGCATAGAGTGTCCCCGCAGAGAGCATAGCAGACAAGCTGTAGAATGAGACTGTAGGCTAAACGTGCAGGCACATGTCCTGGTGATTTTGTTTTATTTTAAGCTTCAAGGGGTTTAGGGTTGTAGGGTTCTGGGGTCTGGGTTTGGAGTTTAGGGTCTAGACTGCAGAAGCACGTGCTATCCTGGATCCGGAGGATACGATGTTTTCGTAGGCGCTGCAGATACGGCCTAGCACCGGATGCTGCATTGTTGTGTACAGTCTGCAATGCAGTCCTGGAGAAATTAGGAGACACGACGGCGGGCTGCTTGTTCGGCAACGTACTGGGCTGTAGGTACAACTGGACAAATGATGTTTAGTGGGTCCCCCTAGGAGGTCTTGAACAAATTCGAAGTAGATGTATCCGAAGGAATGATCCTAGTGTATGAGCCTTGCCGTGAGTGTGCCATGTCAAGGTGGACAGCCCAGCCCGCTTGTGACAGAAGTTCTTGGCCGCAGCGGTTCTTATGCTTTGAGGCTAGGACGTAGTGATGGGACCTAGCATCGTGCGTACATGCTACAGACAGGAACGTAGACGCTATGGCTATGGGGTAGAAGTGTTCCAGGGTCCACAGACAAAGGGAGAGAAAAGGCTGTAGAAGGCTTAGTTTCAGGTGTCCGAGAAGGTGTTTGCATGTTCTCTTTGATGTCTTTTGTCATGTTGCTCAATGTGCGGTTTCCCAACGCCACCTGGTAGTCCAAAGCTTTTCTAGTTTGGGCGTCGAAGCATCCTATCTCAAGTCTGTTCTGTTCCCCGGAATGCCATATGCCACTGATGCAGTCTCCGCTGCGACTACGCAGGAAAGTGTTGCCCAGACCAGTAGAGAGTGACGCGCTGCCAGCAGACGCAGGTCTCTGTGGCAGTTGCAAGTGCAGCGTTTGCAGAAGCAGTCTGGAGCTAGCGCACAGTAAGCATGTAGCCTTGCTATCATGTCGGAGCAGCCGTAGTATGTGATTTCTAGGTCCATAGGTTCTAGGTCGTAGCTGGTGTCTGTTAGACAGCGCACGCCTCCAGCACCGATGCCTGTAGCCAGCGCACAGGATCGGAAGTTTCACTCCCGCGTGTGAGAGTTCATATCGCCGGAGCCCGTAGCGCTGTGCAAGAGCAGTTGAAACTAGGCAGGAAGCCGCTGAAGGCCTGTGTTTCTTTTTGTCGCCGTTACGCAGAGTCGCTCGTACCACCCGTGTCTGTCGCCGGATTCTGCGCGCTTTCCCGCTCGGTCGGTCCACGACGCGAGTCTCGGTTTGCCAGCTTTCTCTGCGTACCTCGACTTCGCACCAAGACAAACACATGCATGCACGGGAAGCACGCCAACATGTCTGCACGCTGGAACCAGCCGGGAACTCTGGACGTTGTTTTCCTCCGCACCCTCTCTCCCTGCGTCTTTGTCTCTAGGTGTGCAGCTTTTTCTTTCTGTGCGTCTCTCCGTTCCATCTCTCTTGTCGTGTCTGGAGCTAGACTCATCTTGCTGGACGTGGTTCCGCACAGTCTGTGTGTCTCCATTTGTCTCTGTGTTGCTGTTGCTCGTCTGTGTCTTGGCATTTTGTTGGCCGTCTCCCGCTGTATCTCCATTTCTGTCTATGTCCGTGGTTTTCTCGGAAACACCATTGCAAAGTGTAGCATTCAGTGCAAGTACGCAGCCCCCCTCTCTCTCTCTGTCCGTCTTTTGGGTTGTCTCGGTCCGTGTCGCTCTCCCTCTTCCTCGCTGTTTCAGTCCGTCCGTCTGTCTTTCTGTGTCTCTTTCTCTCTCTCTCTCTCTCTCTCTCTCTCTCTCTCTCTCTCTCTCTCTTCTCTCTCGGTCCCTCTCCGTCTCTCATGCACTCTCTCACGCTAGCTCGAGCAGACTTGCGCTTCTAAGACCTTGCTTCACAGACATGCACTTTGCGGACTTGTGCATTGCCAGCATGACAGGATTTGTCTTTGCCGGCAAGACTTCCCAGCGGTGTTTGTCCGCCTTGTTCGAAACCTAGGAAGCGTGGGCAGAGACAGTGCCCGGAGCAGGAGTAGCAGTAGCACTTGTCGTTGTTCTTCTGAAGAGCACGTAGCCGCTGGCACATGGCCGGCACTGCTCGGAAGCTTGGCCCCAAAGCGAAAGCAAAGGCCAAGTCGCTGGGCAAAGCAAAAGCCAAGCCTTCCGCAAAGGCGAAAGCCAAGGTCCGTGCGAGTTCCAAGACAGGGGAAGCCGAGCTGCAGCCAAGCTTCGTGGACAACGAGCGTGAGGAACAGGCGTGGCTGTGGCAGTTGCAACTGCTTCTGCTGACATGGGTGCAGTGCAGTGTGGTACCGTTGCTAGAGTGTGGGTCCTATCTGTAGATGGTCAGTATGACGGACGGGCCGTGCTAAATTTTATTTGTGGGTATCTATGCTGTTGATATTTCACGGTTCGACAACATCTCCATGGACTAAGCTGTATAGAGTCTCTGCGAGTCTTTCAGCGGTTGCCATGATGTCGCGAACAGACATGCACACCTGAACCGGAACCTGTTGAGCATTGAAGCGCATGCTTCGCTCCGTTTGATGGGCAGGAGCTAGCCGACAAGAAGAAAGCAGACGCCAAAAGGGGTCGCTTGCAGAAGAAGGGACAAAAGGGTGTCAAGAAAGACGGCAACATCTTGAAGAAGATTCCCAAGAAGGGCTGGATACCTTGCCTTGCGTGTGGGAAGAAGCCAGAGGAGACCCGTGGGTGTGTGAGAGTGATAGTGATCAGATAGCGCCTCTTCGCCTAGGGCCTAGACTCGTTCTATTGAAATCTATTTCCAAGCGGTATGGGTGTGCGACGTTCTTGTGAGGGACAAAGAACCAGCCGCTCGATCAGAGCTTTGGCCGGGCATGCGCGCATATGGGTCCTCCTGAAGGCAGCACGTGAAGCATCTGTTGAAGCTGTCTCCCGCTCTCCCTGCGAAAGCTGCAGAAACTCCCCCCGTTTTCCCGTGCACCCCGGCCAGCGGCAGAGTTTCTGGCATGGCCACATGTGCGGTTTGGATTAAGAAGGCTACGTTTCCGTTTTCTTGGCCTCAGAGGCAACATGCACATTTGCTGTCTTCCTTGTGTGCGCAGATGCTGCAACATGACAGGAGGTAGACTGTGGATGGGGCAAGTACGAGAACAAGCAGCCGGTGGGGGGCGGGTGCAGGCTCTGCCTCAGTACCAGTGTGGAGGCGTTTCCGGACACCCCCTTCGTGGAGCTATGTGAGCTGATCAACGCGAAGTCACCCGAAGGCAAGCTGAAGCGTGCAGAGTTCCATGGAGCCAGAACGGTGAAGCGCCTCTACTTGGAGGGCAAGCCCGTGCCAGACATGGGCCCGCAGGCGCGTGTAGACTCCGGGCAGATGCTTGTCCACAGCATCTTCTTTGAGCTGGCCTTCATGAGTGAGTCCGAAGTGCTGCGGGTGATTGGCTGTTCGACCAAGCAGCTGCGGCTGAAGAGTGTGACTCTGGTCCTGGAAGACGGCACAACGAAATTGGCAGGATTCCTCATGCGCTTGGAGGGCCTCGATCCAGCGACAGCTTTGTCGATGCGACGGGTGAAAGTAGAGCGTAAGGTTAGTGTCTGTCTCGAGGAGAGACTGATGCGACCGGATCGCATGCTGCGGCCAGGTCAGGGCGAGGTGGTGTTTGGGCATGTGCGTGAGAAGCTCACAGAGAAGTCCTGGGCGGCCGTCATGCAAGCGAACAAGCGTACACAGCTCAAGTCTGCAGCGCAGCACATCGCTGCGCGAAAGGTCATGGAGGCCTGGCACATCTGCAGACGCCTTCTCTTGCAGCTGCCTCTGCGTTGCTCGATATGTGTCTGTGTTCAAGAGCCACAGTGCTTGTGGCAAGTGTCTAGTTAAAGGTACCTTCGCTTGCTTGCCGGGTTTGCACAGTGGACAGGAAGAAAACGCAGAGATGGTGGCGCTCGACGAGGGCTGTGGCGAAGAGAACCAGGAGGAGGAGGAGCCGGAAGATGATGAACTAGTCGAGGTCGACGAGGAGGAGGACCTTGGAGATGCAGCCTCCATGGCGTCCGGCTCGCGCATGTCCGGCTTCACTGCTTTGGCAAGTAGCTCCAAGTTGTTCCAGAGCTTTCAGAAGAGGGCAGGCTTGTCCACGGAGTCCTTCAATCTAGGATCCCTTGGGAAGCAAGAGGAGGTTCCCAAGAAAAAGAGACCCAAGAAAGACAAGGACGACGAGCCGAAGGTGACGACCGGAGACGCCGGTGATCTCAAGGGAATGGATGAAGATGACGAGGTTCTTGCGGAGGGTGACCTGGACGAGCTGCTGGCAATGGTCGCCGAAGCACATGGTTCGGTACCAGTTTGCTTTCGCAGTTTGAATCCGCAAGAGCTGCTGACGACTGGGAAGATGGACGGCCGCAACCTCCGGTCCGTGACTTGGAACCAAAAGGCCGTGTAAGTAGAACGTGAAGGCTAGTTTAGTCAAGGCATGAGGTCATGTGGTTACTTCAATTGGGGTAGGATGTCATGTTTACTATGTCGTTGTCCGTGTAGCCAGAACCCATGTTGGAGTCATTGCTGGAGTGTGTCCCGCCGCATCTGGTCGTTTAGAGTTGTCGGACGGCTGTCGCATTCGCTTGGCAGAAAGGAACACATGGTGAGCTGAATAGGAGCCCGATTTTTTGTTTAGTTCCCTTAACAGCCAAATCACGTGAGTACAGTGCCAGCATCTTTTAATGACTCAGCATTCTACAGATTCTACGTTATACAGTCAAACAGAGGTTGCAATGCACCCGCGGGATTAGTGACTGTGGACACGCTTGGGGTGTCGTGGGAGCACCTGAGGCGAGAGACGTCTTGGCATCCATGACGAAGAAGGGTTTGCCGGAGGCAGACACGCTGTCGAGCAGGCTCGAGTTGGTGCAGCATTGCCATGCACTCATCTCCGCGAAGCGCGTAAAGGACATCCCCTTCAACGAGCTCATCGTCCGCATCACCGCTATCCAGGATGCGGAGCCTCCCCTTCAACTTCCATTCAGTCTTCGACTAGGCCTTCTGGAAGCACGTGGGGAGCACCTGGCAATGACCCTGTCGGAGACCAAGGATAAGGCTGCGGCAGAGGACTTGGTCGCGAAGCTGGTCCATGCCATTGCCGTCTGGCGGCCTGCTGCACCCGGAAAGTTGCAGGAGCTCCAGCTGCCTGCTTCCACGATCTGGGAGAAGCAACGCAAGCAACTGCAGACCCAGATTGATGCGGGACTCCTAGCCGAGGCTGAGGTGGATACCATGATGGCCAAGGACGCAGAGGCGCTACACTACACTGCCTAGCTGTTGTATCTCTGAAACTCCCTGTAAGTTTCGACGGCTGATTGCATTTCACGTACTCCGCAGCGGGATGCCGTCCGCAGTTGGTACTCCACGCAATGTTCCAAGTCTGAGCTTGAGGACCGTTACCAGCAGAGTTTTTGGTAGCCATGGCGTACGAATCGCATCCATTCCTCATCTGTTGTTTGGAGAGCGTAGGCCAAGTGTCTGCTACTTCGTGATTCGTTATTGAAGAGAATCTCATTGCCATGTGGATAGCCGCTGATAGCTGCCATGGCCTTCTAAAGATACATGCGGGTGTCTGCCTGCTGCAGCCACCCGAGGATATTTTCCGTTGTAGTTCCATCTAGGCGACTTGTCATTGCTGGCCTGTAGCAAGCAGCCCCTCCCACCTGAAAAAGGAAGCAGTGAGTAGTGAAGTCAAAATCAGCATGGATGTTTTTTCACAGGAGCTCTGCAAGGTGTTGGCTTCGACTTTTGCATCAGACGCGTTCTTCAAGATGCTGAAGGGTGCGAAGCAGAACAAGCAAAAGTTGAGCTTGCTAGCACGTGCTGTGCTCGAGAGCAGCAGTGACCACCCCGTTGCTAGCATGGGTCCCGAGAAGAAGCATCTCGTCACGGTCTCCCAGGACATCCTGGGAATCTGCGGAGCATTGACCTTCCTTCTTTGTCCTGATGTAGCTCTGGCGACGGCGTCCCAGGTCACGGCTCTGCTGAAGTACAAGGGAGCACGCAAGATCATGATCCTGACGAGAGACATCCTGCAGAAGCAGGAGTACCTCCAAGCCCTTTGGAGTGAGGTGCTGAACAAGGGCTCTGCGTCCGCGGAGATCTTGCCCCTCGCCACGGCATTGCAAGCAGAGTTGCAGCAAGAGCCTTTTCTCGGGTGGCCCCTTGTGTCGAAGGCGACCACACAGTTCATTGCTTGGAAAGGCAAGGCCCGCGCAGGTACCTTGGACAAGTTGGAGGAGATGCTTGCCAAGCATCTGCAAGAGATTGCATTAGAAGCCGTGAGCTCAAGTGCCAAAGGCTTCACCACCAGCGACATCAATCTGATGCTGGCAGGCTTGAAAGCTCTCGCGCCACTGCCGGCACGTGTCACGTTGCTCAACAAGCTCGCGAAGACCAAGGAGACATGCGCGCAGTACCTGGCTATGGAGGAGCTCAGAAGCAAGTGTGCTGCACTTCCCCGAGATCCTGGTGCCGCTCTACCGGGAGAAGATGTGCTTGACATGCAAGCCATGTTGCAGTCCGTGCAGGCTGTTCACGATGTGGGCATGGATGCGGAATGCCAGGTTAGCTTCCTCGTCGCGGTGTATTGGTTGTTCCGTCGGCTTCTGGCAGTGGTGCACAGTCCGCAGAGATCTGCTTTTGTAGGTAGGTTTGTCCCGAATGACCCCAGGCCCCAAGCCCGACACCCTAGCCCTAGATCCTGCTGACTGGACTGGTGAAGTGCTGAGCTCCGTAAACTGAGCCCTGCGAATTTCTCTGCAAAGTATCCTCACTAGGTCTGGGTGCTGTCTACCTACAGTTCATAGAGCAACATCGTGCGCTGTGCCTGAATTTAAGCCTTGCCTGTTGCCGCACGCACATGGTTTGTCGAGCAGCTGAGTGCACTAAAGACAACCGTGAACCTCTCGCAGTCCATGGCGATCTTTGCAAGTGGTGATGTGGCTGTGCTGCTCGGCAAAGATGCGAAGGGTGCCAAGCTGGACCAGCTCATCGTGGCTGCGAGGCAAGGCAGGATGGCATTGACGAAGCTGAACAATCTGGACGTTCCAACGGAGCCAGATGTCTGGACAACACTCCGCATCGCCGAGTCGTCTGCCGCCGAGGTCCTTGACAAGCTCTTTGCAGTGAACTTGCTGCGGGATGTCATCGAGAAGAAGGGCGAGATGCTCATGAAGGACATGGCCGAGGCCGTCAGGCAGATCTCTGATCACAGCAAGAAGGTGCATCTGCCTGAGGCGAGCTGGAAGCACGACCTCGATGCTTCTTGCGACATGGACCTCATCATGAAGTCTGCGCCGGGCCGCTTGCAGCATATCGACGGTGAGCAGCTCGAAGCGATTCTCTCGCAGTGCAAGGAGGCCAAGAGAAGCGGGTGGGTGCTGTGAGTTGGAGCTTTGTAAAGTAGTGAAGAGACGTAGAGAGACTGGATATTCCCTGTATGTCGACAGTGCAATAGACAGTTTCTTTCTAGCAAGACAAGTGAGGCAGAGTGTCCATTCCGCCCTTGATTTTTTTTCTCGTTGTGTCTTGCGGGGCCAGATCAGTCACCAGTCGATTGTCACAGTCCAACGCAGACGTGCCCGGATTATCCTCCCGCTCCTCCTGTCGAGTGTCTAGAGACTACCCTGACCCTGCTGTTTACCTAATTTTAGGTGGCGAGCAATTTACTAAACAAAGCTTGGTTTACACTTCAAATTTACGAAAAAATTTACGTAAAAAAAAGTGTAAATTAATTTACTTTGTATAGTAAAAAATTTACACTGCAATGTAAATTTTTTTACACTGCAAAATACATGTTTTTAGGTTACACATTCCCGAATTTGAAGAAGTGAAATGCAAGCTAATTTTGGTTGGTTTTGTTTCTTTTATCATGGTTCTGCTTGTTGATTGCATGAGATTTTCCTGCGACTGTACAGTGCGGCATGGTCAGGTGTGAAGATAAAATTATGAGAATTGTGTTGCAAGCATACTTGTTAAGCCATGGTTTTCCATGTTGAAATCGCAGCTCGGTTTGATTCTGTGCTGGGTCGAGCCGGCGGATTGCTTGCGATGTGTGCTTTTTACATGCGAGAAATCGGTACATGTACATTTGCGAGAGTCATCACAATATAGTTTATACCTGCGAGGAGTCCACCTTTACCTGTGCGAGACTCTTGTAGGTTACATGCGAGAGATCTACTTATATATATATATATATACTTTTCTGAGATCCGAGAGTGAGAAAAATTTTCGGACGTTGCAGCTGTGTGTTTGGTCCAGACGAGACCCAGAGGTAAGTGCGAGGCTGGATGGAGACAGAGACAAATGCATTCCATTTTTTTGAGAAATCATAAATCCTATACATACACAGTATATACAGTCTTGCGAGCATGGCTTCCTTAGCAGCTGCAGCTTCGGTCAAGCTGGCGGAGGGCGCTTCCGCTGCAACGGGCAAAAATGCCAAGGACCGAGTGGTTGCCGATCCGCTTATTACAGCAACGGAGCTGGCGAAGGTGGTGTTGGGCTTTCTCGAGTTCAAGAAGACGAAGGACCTGTGGCCTTTACTGTGCCCCCCTCCGGGCGGGCCAATAAGCTACACTTGGCACACTGCCGCCCACGGTCCGTGGTTGGCAAAGACAGCTGGGCTGCTGTTTGACCTTCTTCGCCTCGCCCCGAACACGAAGTTGTTGTCGCAGCGGGTTACCCGAAGCTTTTGGATCCTTCACGAGCAAAAGAACCTGCTGCTCGAAGGCCACAAAGACTACAAGGCAGAGGACCTTGTGGACAAGATGGACACCGCCATCCGTCTTCTTCTTAGCCACCTCCGTGCGATGAAGCAGAAGGAGAGCTTCAAGCGGAAAGTCTACAGGTCCCTGTCGCACGAGGATCAAGTGTGCAGTGGCTGCACATATATGTTTTTCGTGTTTTTTCGCTGTATATATAATTCGTGTGACGGAACAAAGAAGTGTTGCAAACTTTTTTTTACCTATAAGTCTGTGGAAACATACAATCAGGAAGCTTGACCTTTGCCTGGAAAGGGTGCAGGTGCAGGAGTTTGCCCCGAAGCCTCTTGATTCCCCCAGCACGGCCCTTGTTCCCGTGAACGAGGGTGAGAAGCCTGTTCCTTTTCGTGGTGACGAGAAGCTTACTCCTTTGCAGGATGTTGAGTTCCCGGAGTTGCCGGAAATCTTTAAGAACAGCAGCCCGACCAAGTTTCCGGACACCTTGAAGAGCAGCGAGCCGAAGAAGTTTGCGGAGAAGTTTGTGCACATCCATAAGAGCAGCAAGCCGAAGAAGATCGTTATGAAGAAGGGCACCCTGAAGAAGAAGGCCACAAAGGCAAAGAACAAAAAGGCAGGAAAGGCAAAGATCAAGACTGGTGCCGGGGCTGAGCCGGCCAAGGATGTGGAAGTGATCTCTTCCACGGATGAGTGCGACTTGGACATCCTCAAAAATGCCATGGCTTTCATGCCGCCGGTGTCTGTGGCTGTGGCCAAAAAGAAGGGTGCTTCGAAGCCCAAAGCCACCGGCAAGCCGAAAGAGAAGAGCCCCAAGCCCAAAGCCACAGCGAAGGCGAAGTCGGCGGCGAAGACGAAGGTGGCGAAGCTGGCGGCGAAGCCGAAGCCGGCGGCGGCGACTTCGCCGTCTAACAAATGGCTGTCCGCCGAAAAGTACGGATCTTGCAAGGTAGAGTTCTACTCTGAGAAATCCTACATCCGCAACTACGATAACGGCGGCAAGCTGAGGAGCATCATTTCCAGTTGCTGTCCGAAGCATCATGAGGTGATCGAGAAGATGATTCCCTATGTCGAGCAGGGCATCCCGCTCTTGGAGCTCTACAAGCTGCGACAGGACGTCATGAAGTCGCTGGGGTTTTGAAAACCAAAATGTGTTCAGTGCGGGATGATGTGCACCCTGGGTTTTCTGAACTTTGTAGACTATATAACAATCTGAGTTTCAAGCATATATATGTTGTATATAAACGTGGTTTGTTTTCCCACAACTCTGAGAAAACCCATGGGTGCTAGTCACGGTGTGTTTCTATATGTCTTTCGTTTACATGTAGAGCACTACATCTGCCACAATGCCATCTAGCATAATGCATCTTTGGCCCTTTTAGTGAGAAGCACAAAAAGGGTGAACCTTCCGGCAGCAGAGGGGCAATGACTGCGAGAAAAAATGTTTCTTGCATTTGTGTGTGTGTGTGAGGTTGAGTGCTTCCTGTTCTGTGTGATATATGTATTTGATCCCTATCATATACTGTATATATAAGCCTTTGTAACCCCGAAACCACCAATAGCCTAAAGCCTCAAAGCAGGTTTACTTGCGACGGTGATTTTTGTATATGTACTTGCGATGAGTTCTGCTTTTTACCTGTGCGAGTGTTTCCTTTTACATGCGATGTGAGGAGCTTTGTATATTACTTGCGAGATTTTCCTTGTGTGCACCTTTACATGCGATGGGGAGCTTTGTATATTACTTGCGAGATTTTCCTTGTGTGCACCTTTACATGCGATGGGGAGCTTTGTGTTACTTGCGAGATTTTCCTTGTGCAGCTTTACATGCGATGGGGAGCTTTGTGTTACTTGCGAGATCTACCTGCGAGTGTGTCTTGCCTTTAAAGCAGTATTTCACAAAAACCCTCAACCCTCACTAAGCCCTAAAACCCAAAACTAATTTTAAACCCATAAACCCTATATAAACCCCAAAACCCGAAACCCCAAACCCGACTCCCCAAACTTAAACCGCAAACCGACAGCCCGGATTCCTTGTGAGCCCCCAAAAAAACATTCTCCAATGTCTAACACTTTCGAGTTGGAATTGCTTGAGTGCAGAGAATGCCGGCTGAAGAGGTTTATCGAGGCTTTTTTGCGAGATGATGTTGGAGCCGAAACTTGTGGCCGTGGTCGCTGTTTCCTTTACAGCAGGAGAGACTCTAGTTTTGCGACGTAGTATCTCCTACACACGATGTGTTCGACACGATGTCACCACCATGTGCCGATGCGGCTTATTCTCACAGTATTTGTAGAAGGTTTGGATTGTAGATAGCTTCGCATAGATGCTCTGGACTTTTAAAGCATACAACCCAAAGCCATTACCGAGTTTCGGGTGTCAGGCTTTCGGCGCCGGGGCTAGGCTCTAGGCACATTTTTATCCACAAAGAATAAAGGCTGTTCACTTTGGGTGTTCTAACATATATAGCAAGTTTTGCTTCGCGGCCATGGCAACTGTCGACTGCTACCGTGTCTACGTGAAGAATGTCACGTACAGTGCGACGAAGTGGGCCACTCGAAAGAAAAGTAGCTTTGGGTTTAGGGTTTAGGGTTTAACATATATACTTTATATGTACACAATATGTAGATATAGATAAACTCAATACACGTCTATTGGCCACAATCTGACACTCATTACTTTTCTTTTGTGTCTAATTATATATGCTTATATCTACACATATATACAAAGGGTGAGGTTGGTACACATATAGACAGGCATACATATATGTAGTTACATGAGAGAGAGCCGAGGCGATCAGGGCGGCGATCGAAGAGCTTGGGGTGCTGGATTGCCGGAACATCCAGGTGGTGAGGGAACGGTACTGGGAGAAGAAGCTGCAGCGGCCAGATCACTGCAGCATCTTCTTGGAGTTCGCAACTTGGTTTTTTTATATTACTTGCGACCCCTATATAAACCCTAAACCCTAAACCCTATAAACCCCAAACCCCTAACCCCCAAACCCTAAACCAAAGGACTCGCCAGATGCCGCTCAGCTTGCCCGGGCTTCGCTCGACGGGCAATGGCATGGGAAAATGGCGACGAACAAGTACCTGGTGGCAGAGCTGGCGAAGCCGCCCCCTTCGAAAGCTTCGAAGGAAGACGAGTCGTGGGGCAAGTGGGCACCACCACCAGAACAGCCGCCTTGGAAAGGCCCTCCGCCCACCCCCCCTCCACTGGGCCAGGCACCACCGCCATCCCAAAGCCCACCAGAGCCCAATGTCCCAGAACCAGCACTCCCACCAAAAGCCAAAGCAATGCCGACCCAGCCCCCGTACCCACCGCCGCAACACCTTGCACCACCACACCCAAAGGTTCCACCTGAGCAACTTTACGGTTTGGAGACGGTGAAGCCGCAAGCCTGGGAGCTCTGGGTACATGGTGGTCCACGACCCAAAGAATCTTGCATTGCATAGTTCAACAACATGTTTTGTTACACATATCTGCATGTGTTTTTATATATATGTATATATAATCAACATGTGTACAAAGAGCTATAGGGCAGCTAGGGGGGCCAAATCTAAGAATGCTATATGGCATCATGTGAGAACCCCAAACGACCCGCCCTAAAAGATTCATAGTTTCATATTCCGACGACAACACCAGCCCCAGGAGGATGCTGCTGCCCCGCTTG